AAGATTATGGATTTGTTTAAAGCTGAGGTGACCTTATAACTTAATAATTTTAAAATAGTTTATTTTTAATATATATATATATATATATTCATAAACTACTTATGCCTTATATAAAGATAAAATTAGACGGACCAGAAACCCTGTAACATAAATATTACTTGTGCATCAACACACAGGGTCCACATTCAATGAACATTTGGCTGCTCTGTGGCAAAATGTTGCACAAGATAAATGTGGCAAAAGAGACAGCAGAAGTTACAATTTAACTCTTCCACATTGAAAGGCTAATGACAGTGGCTGTTGCCTAGTGTCACGTAACTCATGGACCAGCAAAAGCAACAGGATGTTTGGCATAATCCTATTGATATGCTCTTAATATGCTTGTTTTAGTTTTCCTGTTTGCTAGCAGACATCCTTATACAGTACAATTGTATTCTATTATTTGTAGGATAAGAGTTGCTACAGCTAATCTATGGAACTCACAAGTGCAGAATATTATTTAAAACCACATAGATTTTCAAGATTGAAAAATAATTTGAACATTCATGTGAAAATGGCATCCACAGTCTCACTAGCTAGACTAAAATTAAGAGCTATCAATTGTGATGTCTCATATGCTGATCCCAAGTTGAGATCAGAAAGAAACAGCCTTCCACAGTATAGTATAGCACAATTACATGCATTTATGCTTCAAAAGCACCCAGTATTGGATGCTGTTAAAGACAGCATATTGAATTAGATCATTGACCTGACAGTACTTGTGCTGAATAAACTTAATATTACCAAAAAAAACAGGAGTACTTGTGGCACCTTAGAGACTAATACATTTGTTAGTCTCTAAGGTGCCACAAGTACTCCTGTTCTTTTTACGGATACAGACTAACACGGCTGCTACTCTGAAACTTAATATTACCACTGTCTTTATGAAGTCAAACCCTGACACGGTTTCTAGCTTATGAGGTGCCTTAATATAACTGCATGTGCGTAGCAGGAGTCATCTTATATAAACATTATCATTCTTTGTTTAATATCATTAAATTAAATTAACATGACTAAAGTAATATACCGCATATTGTGTAAAAGCCCAAATCTCTTCAGAAACAAATATCTTATGGAATTATATGAGCAATGTATAAAGTATAGGTAGTGTATTTACTGTATTCTTGTAATATTTTGTTTTTGCTTCCAGGCTTTACAAATCGATTTTCAAAACCTAAAGGACCAAGAAATCCTCCACCATCTTGGAATATTTAATTCAACTTTACAGATGCATGTGGTTTCCAATACTGCAGATTTGCCATATCCCTCCGACGTGCTGCACATGCTCTTCACATTACAGAATTGCTATCAGAACATTAGCACTAAAAATGATCTTTGCTGTATAAAGTCCACAGCCAGAGAATAGCATACAAGCTCTCCTAAATGGTTTTTGTATAAAGAGGGATGCACAAATGCACATAAGTTGCTTGACCCTTCCAGTTAATGTAAACCAAAAACATTTCAGAGAAAACTTTTTTTTCTTATAAAACTGTTTCTGAAAACATGCTAAAAAATTTTTTGGAGAACTTGTATAGTTTCTTTACAGTTTATTTATTATATGACAACGGACCTGATTCTCCTGTCACAGTAGTAAGTCCCAATTAAGTCAATCAAGTGACACTACTGCAAAATGATGCTCCCATCACTTAAGCACATGCATAACTTTACTCATATGTGTAGTCATAATTAAAGATATGCATGTGCTTAAGTGTTTGTAGATTCAGGCTCTAAGTGAGAATCAGGCTCTCAGATTTCAGAACTCATCTATTTTCTTAATGATTATATTAACATTATGATTATTTCTATTTGAATTAATCAGATAATTTGTCTTTCTAAGTTTCCATCCAAAAAGGAAAATTAAGATGCTGACTGTTCATATAGGAACCAAACTTGCATATGTAAACATTGCATAATCTACTGAAAAAACTCCACATCAAGCAAAATGTAAGTGCATCTTAGTTTGGGCTTTCATGCTGCAAATTTTAAGGTGTCTGTAACTTGCCTAAACAATGCAACACAAAGTTCCATGCTGACAGTTGGCAGTTAAATCCCCAACCTGAACATTTCCCCCCCTAAAATCGGAAAGCTTGTTTTCTTGCTAATAAATGGGGTCAGATTAATATGTTTTGCTCTCTTCTAGAAGAAAACAAAAAGCTGATTTTTGGCAACAAATACTGCAGGTATTTTTAGGGCCACATATGCAGTCTCTGGTTCACAGCAAAACCCAGTGATGAATAACAGACTATACAGAACTCATTGACATCAAGTTGCTTTGTGGATCAAATGCGGGGTATACCAGCCCTAAAAGTATCTGCAGCATTTTTTTTTCAAAGTCAACTATTTTCTAAGATAGCAAAAATTATTGAAACAACGTGTCTAATTTATGATCAGCACACTGTATTCCCTAGTTATCTCCAAAGTGCTAATGCCACTGAATTAAATTGTATCCCTTTGTTCTGCACTTTTACACTTGTCACAGGGAAGAGCTTGCACTTTACCAGCTGAAAGGGAATGCTACAGCCACAAGCAGTTTGGATGAAAGTGGTTTCTGATAAGGGAACTCCTACGTACTGTGACTTGATTGTCATTTATGCTGATCCTATGTTTGGGGCAAGCATAGAAGGGAGTGGAGCAAAGAAAGCTGCAAGACCTCTTTGTGCTCTTCTAATTTTGGGACAGCTGGGGCCTGCTTGACCCCCTGTGCAAAGTAGAGCAGCCTTAAGACAAAAATGATCTGATATCAAATCAGACAAATTAAATTGACAGCAAGCCTTTTAATTTTAAAAATACTGACAAAGTAATAACAAGAAGTCAGACAAAATCTCAGTGGAGTATTGAATCTGTGAAGCATTTTATGTGTATGAAAGATGCTATACAAAATAAAGTTTATTTATCTAGCATACCAGTTTTTCTATATATATTTTTTACAAGTTTAAAGAGCACTGAATATTGCATGCTTATCTTTAGAGTGCCTTGCACCATTGCCGGCACTGTATAAATAAAAAATAAAGTATAATTTTATGTTTATCGAAGTGCCAATAGCTAGACTCCCATTACTAGTATTAAAGTCATATGGATAGGGAGTGCCATCTACACGAGAGCAAAAATGGGAGTAACCAAACAGATTAAGGGCTCATTTGTATCACAAACACAACTGAGTCAATTCAATTAGTTACGCATAGTCATGGACATTGCAAGGTTTTAGCCTGCTTATACAACCAAATGAAATCCCATCCATTTTACAAATATTCAGTGTTTTGTAATTGTATCCCTTAATTTTTGCTGTAATGTAGACAGGCCCTTACAGAAAATCAAATCTTCATTTTTCATTTGTATTCAAAGGATAGAACCATTCCTCTTATTCCCATATTAGTTATTTTTATTATTTTAGTGCCTACAATCCCTAGTCATGGACCAGGACCCCATGGTGCACTGCTAGACACTGTACAAACACAAGACAGTAATATTGTTCCTGCCCCAATGATGAAAGATGCCCTAATCCAGGGGTCCCCAACGCGGTGCCCGCGGGTGCCATGGCGCCCGCTGGGGCTTCTAAGTGCGCCCCCGTACTGGCCGGCGGACGAGCATCCACCGAAATGCCGCCGACAAGCAGTGTCATCCAGAGGCGTTGCCGCCGATTTTCAGCGGCATTTCGGCGGTGACACCTCTGGATGACGCTACTTGTTGGCGGCATTTTGGTGGCGACGCCTATTGACGTTGCCGCTTGTTGGCGGCATTTCGGCGGATGTTCATCCGCCGCCACGGTCCTCCGTGGCTCATCTGGTGCCCGCCAGACGAAAAAGGTTGGGGACCACTGCCCTAATCTAATACAAGAGACAACAGCTGGATACAGACAAATGGGGGAGTACAAGGAAACAGTATTGGTCAGCAAAATGGGCCTAATAGCTGTCAAGTCTTTCACAGACATGATGACAAAGGAGAGTTTTAGGGAGGAATTTAAAGGATTATGAGATAGCTTGTTTAGAGAGCTCCTCCCAAGCACAAACGGCAACATGGAAGTAAGCACAAAGATGCTTGCTTTAAAATTTAACAAGTAGGCAAGGCAATGGAGGCTGGCATCACTGGGAGGCAGGAATCAATGCCTCAGTAGTAGTAGTAGAGATGATAGGCAGGGTGGGGATACACTTTGAAGAATCTTGAAAGTGCATACAAGAAGCTGTTGTGTGATAGAGAGAGAGAGAGAGGGGAGCCAGTGGAAGGATGCAAAGAGTAGGGTGATATGGCCAAAACAACATTTCTTGTATGTTTTAACCAGCTGAGGCACAAAGTTAGACTGACAGGGCAGGAGACTGATATCTGTTCTCTTTTGACTATGTTCTGAGTTCCCATGCTCTTCATAACATAACAGACTCATGTACATAAGTGAGATAATCACCACCTTGTGATTTTAAATGCTGCTAGCATGCTTACCACAGTATGAGAGACAAAGGGGGAGTTTTTATCCCAATGAGTTTACAGTCCAATTAAAATGCCTTGATAAAGTTATAGTAGACTTGCCAAACTCAGCAGGCTCTGGCCCAAATAAGGTACTGTAACTGATTTGCATCTCTACAATACTCTGTATTCTGCTTTGTGGCTGTGTGTGGGTAACAGCACCTGTAAGGTATACACAGCACACTGGGGCTCAAGGCACATTTATTATCTTGAGTCGCCGAGAAAGATCGTGTGTAGCATCAAATAAACACTTTTTTTTCCTCTTAAGCAGCTGTGTGGTTGCAGTGGGTAAGATAAATGTGTAGGTGTTCTGCTCGCCTCTTGGTTTACTCTCTGCACTTCCAGTAATTTAAATTAAATTAAAGCCTTTTCTAATGTGAGGAAACTCTTGAGCCCCCTCTAGCGATGAACTGAACAGCTGGCTGGTGACCTAGTATATCAGTCTTTGGGCTTTTCGTTTTGCAAAATAGTTTCTGCAAGTTTAAGCTGTGAATCAAGCTGAAGGCCAGAGACGGTTTTTACATTAAACAGGCAGGGGCGCTACGGGCAAGCTAAGGGGAACGGAATCAGGGCGGGAGGAGAGCTGGAAACCTAGGGTGACCAGATGTCCTGATTTTATAGGGACAGACCCGATTTTTGGGTCTTTTTCTTATATAGGCTCCTATTTCCCCCTCACCCCCGTCCCGATTTTTCACATTTGCTGTCTGGTGACCCTCTGGAAACTCGCAAGGGACTAGCAGCCAGTGTCCTCAGGCTGCACGCACTGGGCCGCTGCACTTTCAGCGAGCACTAGGCCAACAACTGAACCGGGCATCGACTCCAGCCCTGGCTGGCTGAACGGTCCTTTGACACGCCAGTTCCCAGCGCTAAGTGTAGACGCACCGCTGCTCCCTGCAGCTGAGCTTAGTTCAAAGCACGCGGGACCCGTTCCCACCCTCCCCGCTTCACACTTTCATCTCCATTGACTGGAACAGGCCTGGCCCTTGCAAAGGGGGGATGAGGGGGGCTCGGAGCGCAGCGCCCCTTGGGCTCGCGGCAGTGTGGGTGGGGCTGGCTGGGAGAGGGATGGTCGGGCCGAGCGCAGCGGCAGGGAGCGCCCGGCGGTTCCGAGGAGGGCGGGCTGGGCTAGGCCTGAGGGGAAGGTGTGGGGTTGGGGGCGTGGAGGAATAGGCGGGGCTAAGGCCGGCCGGCTCTGAAGGGGAGCGGACACTCTGGGGCCAGGACTGCATCACAGCTGTGTGGGCGGGGCACGCGCCTCACCTCTTTCGGGTGTTTGGGCCGTTATGACCGTTGGGCGCCCCAGGAGCCCACGTGACTGGGTCAGCCTGCGTGACTCGCCGCACGCTTCTCTCGCCGGCAAGCCCAACACAAACACATTTCCCAGCAGGCTCTGCGTTGACGCATGCGCTTGGAGATTAGGACTTCGGGGCCCGATGTTGCAGCTGGAACTACAGTCCCCATGAGACATCACGCGGCGCCTGCGCGTTGGCTGCTGGCGCTCGGGCCATTTAAATGTGTGTGAGGGAGACTGTGAAATGGCTGCGCAGGTCGCTGCGGTGCGCGCCGTATCCCGGGGCCCGGAGGAGTCACCCCCGTTACCCTCGGGGGACCGACCCGGCCGGCCCCGGGGTGGCGGCAGGAGGCGGCGGGGACCAGCTGGCGAGGCTGTCGGTGGCAAGCGGGCCAGGCTGAGCCAGCCGCTCCTGGTGGGGCCCAGCCCGGCGGAGCCAATGCCCCCGGCCGCCCTGCCCGGCCTGCCCCCGGCCGCAGCCGCGGGGCTCTTCACCTTCTCTCCCCTCAGCCTACCGCAGGGACCTCCGCAGCAGGAGCGGCACCATCACCACCGCCATCGCCCCGCTGGCGACTCCGAGCCCGGCCAGCCTGCCGGGGCCAAGCCGCACAAGGGGAAGCGGGGGAGCACCGGGGACGGGACAGCCGGGCGGCCCAGCAAGCGAGGTGAGGCGGCGGGCAAGGGTCTGGGGGTCGGCTGCCTCCGGCATGAGGGGCTGGGGGCGTTCAGGAGGGGTATGAAGTGCCCATGGGGCTGTCTCCCCCCCGGCAGCGCCTTCACCCATAAGCCTGGTAGAGCGAGCGTGTGAAACAGCCCAGGCAGGGCTGCCGCGGGCCGCGGCGGACTCGCGGGTTGGCTCCGCTGCTCCAGTCGGTGGGAACAGCGCTTGGCACTTGCCCCCCGTTTGTGAAGCACTCCGGGTGATGCACCGGGTCTGTGAAGTGTCTTCGCCGGCAGCTCTGCAAGTCTGATAAGAGACACACAGGTAGCTCTAGAGGCCGCCCATATTCCACCTCGGCAGCCTTCCTTAGAGCTCCGAAACGGGGGGGACGTAGTTCCTAACTTGCCTCTTGCTGGGCCGGGTGGAAGCGAGCTAGTAGGTGTAAGATTAAAAAGCCTGGTCTCTCGTTGCAATATTCAGTCCTTTAACTGGTGCCTGGGCAGTATATGCCAGGGAAAAGTCATCGTTTCAAACCAGATACGTGATCTTATTTAAGGAGACTTAAAATAAAGGACTGTAGTGGCACAATTACCTTTAGACCACTTGTCGCAGCATCACTTCAAGATTATGTAGCTGAACACCGCTTTCCCCAGCAATAGTGGATTCTGCTGACAACCATCTATAAAGTTTTCGTTTCACTATCTTTTTTCCGGGGTGGGGGGGGCATGGTGGTGTTAGCGCTCTTATTTTGGAGTTAGTCTCTGTGTCGTACTTAGCTTCGGTTAATAAATCACAATATTTAAGGGGAAAGGAAGGCTTTTCTCTGCCTGGAGAAATGGGGATCTAATAACAATTTTAGTGTTCAGTGTCCTATTTTCCTAATAGTAGTTAATATAAAAAGTACTGCTAGAGATCTTAAACTGAATTTAACTGAATAAATGTACCGTTATTCCTTCTGTGTTTGGATATTGAAGTGTGTATATACTTGAGAATATTGATCATTGGTACTAAATAGTGAGTTCAGACTCCTGTGGCAGATGGACTTAATGTGTACAGAGTACAGGTAGAGTATTGTGATGTTGCCCTTTAAAATTATTCTTAATTACATCCATTGGCAGTTCAGAATATAGATATATTGATACAGATGCTTTCTTCCCATTGTATCTGCACTAATTTGTTGTAGAGTTGCTTATGAGAACTTGTCTACTGATACTCAACTGCTCAAGATAGTTAAGCCCAAAGCAGACTGTGAAGAACTTCAAAAAGATCTCACAAAACTTAGTGATTGGGCAACAAAATGGCAAATTAAATTTCATGTGGATAAATGTAAAAGTAATGCACATTGGGGAAAATTAACCTCAACTATACATACAATATGATGGGGGGGGGGGCTAATTTAGCTACAACTAATCAGGAAAAATATCTTGGCATCATGGTGGATAGGTCTCTGAAGATGCCCACGCAATGTGCAGCAGCAGTCAAAAAAGCAAACATGATGTTACGAATCATTAAAAAGGGGATAGAGAATAAGACTGAGAATATATTATTGCCCTTGTATAAATCCATGGTACGCCCACGTCTTGAATTCTGCATACAGATGTGGTCTCCTCATCTCAAAAAAAGATATACTGGCATTAGAAAAGGTTCAGAGAAGGGCAACTAAAATGATTAGGGTTT